CTTTTGCCATCTCCTCCTGCTTTTTCTGAAAATAAAAACCTAACATTTGGGGATATGAAATAATCACCATTACATCAATCAGACTCTGTCCATCAATACAAAATGCAGCTTAAAGAAAGTAGGAGAGAAACACTGGAGAAGTACAGATTGTTTGAGGGACATTCCCTGATCATCTCCTATTGCTCTCCTCCCTGCACTGCTTGAGTTTTGTTCTTCCACCTCCGTCAGCTAGGGAAACGGAAAGCTCCCCATGCTTAAGAGAAGTTTACTCATGATGACTCTCACAGACACCCAAATGTCCCCAGCACCCTGTTTCCCAGGCTGACCAGCTGGGAAAGATGAACCTTACTGCCTGTGGGAGCTTCAGGCAAGTGTTAGAGAAGTGGGAGGAGAATCTGGGCCACAAAGCCATAACGTCACTCCACAATGAAAGCTGACCATCCTGAGGCATCCACCCCTCCCACCTTCATTTGTAGCCCTGTCTGCTGAATTTTGTCTGCCATTCAGCAAAACTGACATCAAATGCAAGGTTCGGCACAATCGGTGGTGTCTGCAGCTGGAATAGGAGTGTGGTCAGGCAACCAGGGACATTTCTGCTGCTTTATAACCTAGGATTTCAGAATGATCCTGTGGGTCTTCTTAAATCTCCCAAAACTTCCCAGCATCTCAGCTAGGTTCAGATACATATGGTAGGTGTGAAGCCGAGATGTTCTGGCAGAGAGTTGTTTCCTTCCATCCCCATTATTCAGATTGCTTGTAACTGTTGCCACCATCCAAGATGAGGTGTTGCTTGCTTACTTGGTGGTACTCAAGATTCACTTTGGGCTGGCACCTCTCACATATCCCAGAGGGCCATGCACTCCTTCACGCTTACTCAAATTCAAGTATGGCTATCATCTGAGGGAAATGGGAGAAAGGAGGAGTACTCTCAAACTCACACCTCCTGTCCCAAGGCTGCGCAGGACACAGTTTGTGATCCTGCGGCTAGAAAGTGTGTGTTGCAAAGTCCTCATGCACATGAAAGGAAGGCTGCAAAATGTTCATGGGATGTGAGCTTATAAGCTACTGGGATCTTTGCTCACACTCTCAGCCAGCTCTGCCTGCCCAAAGCTCCTGCTATACCTTAGGAACTGCATGACCAGTTAGGTCCAGTTCTTCCAGGGCAGTTTCTCCCCTCCACCTCCCCATGCAGCTGTTGAAGCTAAATTACTCAATGTAGAGGCTGACACAAAGGCAAGGGCTCTGGCTGGCCAAGACTTCAAGCAATATGAATTTAAAGAGAGGAGGAGCGGGAGGAGGAGGGGCTGTGTTCTTACATTACAGCTGCCTCTGTCCCAAGGTCCTGAGCCGAAAGGATTGTCAAGATTAGAAACATTATCTGCATTCAAATCCCACTAGCATTATGGAATCAGAAAATACTGTAAGGGGATATATAAATGCTAAGTACTGTAATGAGCAGTGGGCAACTAGCCAAGCTGCTGTGCCTCTGGCATACTCTATATTTTGCTCCCTTATGGGGTTCAAGTATAGGTGTGAGAATACATCCTCATCTAAGCACTGGTAGACTCACCTACTGCAGTGGAAAGCAGGTAAAGCATGGACAGAAGCAATGTCTATGCCCTGCATAACTGGCACTAGAGAAAGTTGCCTTAGATAGTAATTCCCTGCAAAGGTCTCCTGCTTCCAGGTGGTGCCACAGTGGAAAGAGCTCCTGAGAGTCTTATGTTACATAAAGATTGCCTTGGTGCAGGACTTCAGCGCTCTCACCTCATTATCTCATTAGCATGAAAGTCTCACACTGTCACACGTCTTCTCTTGGGACTGGCCTTTTCAGAGGAACATCTCCAAGCGCTCGTACCCATGGTACGTACACCTCCTAGAAATGTTCTCACTAGACACAGTCACACAAGTACTGCCACACCAAGGCACACCTTCGGCATTACCATGATCTTTTTTTGACTCCAGAGCCCTAATGAAGTGCACACTCCCATAGTCTCACACAAAGAGGTTTTCATTCCATCATCTATATTTTCACAGAATCACAGAATCACAGAACGTTAGGGATTGGAAGGGACCTCAAATGATCACCTAGTCCAATCCCCCTGCCGGAGCAGGAACACCTAGATGAGGTTACACAGGAAGGCGTCCAGGCGGGTTTTGAATGTCTCCAGAGAAGGAAACTCCACAGCCTCTCTGGGCAGCCTGTCACCCTCACTGAAAAGAAGTTTCTTTTCAAATTTAAGTGGAACCTCCTGTGTTCCAGCTTGTCCATTACCCCTTGTCCTATCATTGTTTGTCACCGAGAAGAGCCTGGCTCCATCCTCGTGACACTGTCACTTCGTGACACTCACCCTTTAAATATTTATAAACATTTCTAGATACGTTTGCTCTTTCCCAGCAAGCTGCCATGCTTACAGGTACACAGCTGCACCCACACCTCTCCAAAGAGCTACCTTGCATACGCTGCATGCTGACATGCGTTACTTCTCATTAACACTTCCTCTCCTGCAAACGCACCCGCTCACGTCCAGCTACTTGTCTGTAGCAGGTGTTGCAACCTCACATGATGGAGGCACATTTCTGAGCTTCTTCCAACACCCTCAAGAAACCCTAACCATCTGCTGTGTGCAGGAGTCAAGAGCTATTTGGCTTAAACTTGACTTTGGCACATGGCTAGCATAGCTATAAGTAAGTAGCTAGATCAAGTATGGAGTGGACGTGACTGGACAGTCTTCTTCCCTTGGGCTTACTGTGTTTTACCTCTGGTCACAGTGCAGCCAGAGCCTCAAGCATTGACTCTGAGGAACCTCTTGCTGGTTTACACAACTGCCTCAGTGCAGGAACTTGCTGACAATGTTCCCTAAAGATAAGGATCCCACAAGCTCCATCCATTAAAGGCAGACCCCATAATGGGGAATAGAAAACAGTATCTCTCACTACCACCTGTTTGCAGATGTCTAGAAAGCTCACAAGAGGTGTCCATCTCTCCCTGAGTTATTGGGTACCAGCTGCTCTCAGGTGCTTTAATGTGGATGGCCGTAGCCTGAGCCAGGAGATGAGATGCCAGAGCGGTCAGACCAGTGCTCAAATGCCTTATCAATGGATGTGCAAATACAGACCAGTGCCTCATTCAGGCAGGATCCCTGTAAGCACGAGCCCTGAACGTGCAACCTCACCTTTATTGAGAGTTTATATTTATAGAGAACATGGAAAGAGCAGTGAGACCACATGTTTCACGCATAACATGGAGCACCCCTTTTACCTCACACGGTGGCATTACCCCCTAAAGACAATAGGCCAGGTAGCTGCAGGGGAATTAATGCTGCAGTGATGCTGTGATAGTTGGTGGAGAATATGTTCTTTGAAGGGCTTCAGGACAGGCCTGCGGATGCATATTGGGTGGAAGGGAGAAGGCAACCATGTTCTCCATCGCTCCCCTCTGCCCAAGCAAGGTCCCTGAGATCTCATCACCAGGGTGCCCACCATCTCCCTCAATGTTTCAGGAAAGGGCTGGATGCTGCCAGTGTGGGGAGTTGGCCAGCCCTGCAATGCCCCGGTGCACAGGCCAAAGGGCTGCCACAGAGCTTTTGCTCCCTGATGCCTTTAATTGCTGCTCACTCTCTCAGCGACTGGGTGCAAGCAGAGGCTATTTATAGTGGGGGAGCCAAGAGGCCACACAGCCAGAGGGGCAGTGTCTCTGGGTGACATTCAAGCCTGCTTTGATGCTGGGGGCTGTGCCAAAATGGGTCCTGGGGGAGGTTGTTCCTCATAAATCAGCCTGCTATCCCTCTGGCCACTTTTCTTCTGCCCCGCTCCAGCTTCCCACTGCTAAGTTGTGTCCTAATAGGGACATTCCTCTCCCGGAGGCCCCCAGCTACTTGTTCCCATCACCCCCCCATACAGCAGGTTTGGGAGCCAGGGAAAGCAAGATGACCATCAGCATCAGAGGCATTCATGGAGCAGGGAGGGAGAGGGAAGAGGAGGGGGCTCTTACAGCTGCTTGGAGGTCTCAGAGCATCGCTACCTCCTTGTAGGGTTTCTGGCATGCTTGTGGTGGGGCTGTCAGTCATTTGGTGAGTTAGGGGGCTCATTTCCCAGGGTCACTGCATCTCTACGGAGCCCATCTGGAATTCACAGGGTCTCACCCAGGGCTGCTCCCACCATGGGGCACTTGCAGAGCGTCTCTCCTTTCCTCACATATCTATTTTCACAAAACAGGCAGGAACTCGATATCTTCAAGAGGCCCCTTCGTTGAAAATGGTGGGAAGAGGGGGCAGTGGTTTCTGAAGCTGTGAGGAGGCAATTGTGAGTGTGGCTGGGATTAGACTCATTTCTTTAGGAAAAAGAAGGGACCAGGAACTGGGGAGTGACTGAAGCCTGGACAGAAGACATAAAGTATTTCACAAGAGAAGGGACAGCTTTTGCAAAGCCAGGAGTCCCTCTGCCTTATTTTTCTGGAAGCCTGCTTTGACAACCCCAACACATATATGAAGGAAACTTGATGCTGCAGTGTCCTGCATCCCCTTCAATTTGCAGCCACTGCCACCTGGCACCAAGGACTCCCAGAGTTAAAATGTCCATGGTGCCCACATGTCACGCTTCCTTGCAGGAGGCCACTGAGGCATAACAGAAGAGACAGTTTTTGTTTTGTGTTGGTGGCACAGGTCTTTCTCCCAACCATGCCTACTGCTTTGGGCTCCCCAGTTCAGCCAGGAGCCCTTTCCCTATGTCTGAGTGACAAACAGCAGTTAGTATCATGTGGTATCACAAGAAAACTCAGTACTGTGACACAGTGGGAAGAAACCCAACCTCTGGGCAGTGTTATCTTGGGGATGGCGGGGAGGGGAGGCAGCATGTGATGCATCCCATCCATTGGTGCTGTCCGAAACCAGAATATGGGTTACTTGTGTCTGTTGTGCCATGCTAGAGGGGCATGATGTCCTTTTGCTACCCCGTGATGTTAATGCCCCTAACGCTGGGCTCTCTGGTTCTTCCCACAGCTGGCGGCTCAGGTCCTGGAGCCCAGGAGCATTGGCTTCGGGATGGTGGACTCCAAGAAGGATGCCAAACTTGCTAAAAAGCTAGGTGAGTCCCATATCTGATATCTCTGTTATTCTTTAGAGAGGGTGTTGGAGTGATGCCACAAAGGACGGCCAAATCCTTGTCACCAGGATGTGGAGGATGATGGTAGCAATTGTACACTGACCACCTGCCCTTCCCAACGTGGGCAGGATCAAGCCAGGTGCAAGGATGAGAGGGGTGAGCCAACATCTTTCCAGCAAAAGGCTTCATGGCTAACAGCACCAGAACAAAACCAAACCAAGTGAAAAAGAAAGCCAATTCATGCCATAGTGATGACAGGGTGGAAGCTCACAGCTTGCTGAGCAAAAACTGTAGATAGGTGTCATGGAGTAACTCCATGTTCCTCCTACACAGAGACAGCTCTGACACAGCAGCGCAGAACCAAAACCTACAGGGACATCACATAGGCCCCCAGATGTCATCAGTCCCATGGCAGAGTGATCCACAGCCACTGACCGGTGGCCATAGCCTTGCAATGGTTTGGCAGCCAAGTGCCAACCCTTCTTGACTTGTTCTTCACAGAAGAGAAAACCTCTTGTAAAGACGAAAGGCTGCTGCGTTGCCCTCTTCCAGAGGCTGGTGATTGCTTCATATTTTAGCCCACAAAGCAATATGGAATACAGTGGCACATAAATACAACAGCACAAAAATATACCACTAGACTTAAGGTCAGAGACTGTTTAAGCATACAGACTGCATACAGCAGACATACAGACAGCATACAGTATGCTAGACTTTCCTTCCTAAACTAGAGGCTAAGCCTTGCCACTAAGTGGAAGCTAAACTAAAGCTGAGAGCTTCTGCCTCTCCAAGGAGGAACAAACTACCAATCACCTTGACCTATGGTACCCTGCCATCATGCATTGCAGGAGCTTAGTGCTGCTGATTTTGGACCCTCCACCGAGGCACTGTGGCAACCAGCCCTCAGTCCAGTGATATACCATTGAAATCTGCCAACCTGCCATCTGTGGCACCTCCGCCATAGGTTTCTAACCTGTTTGCTAAGGCCAGCTAAGCCGCAGAGAGTTTGAAGCTCGCTTTGGCTTCCAGCTCACTGTTTATGTTCACATAGTTCAGCCTTCTCTGGGCAGACACCACAGCCTGCATCAAAATCCATTTTCCATCTAGTGTCAGGTTGTTCAGATTTGGGATGTCAGTTAGATCCCAGTACTACTTACTGCAAAATAGATAGCCAAGATAAAATGAGTTCCTGGTAGAGAATTTTTCCAACTGAGGCCAAACTGTGACTTGAATTAAAAAGTTCAACATTTGGGAAGAAGCTAGCCCAAATTCCAGCTGAGGTCTGTCCCTTGTGCTGTGAACCGTCAGTCAGGAGATTGCTCAGGTTGTTTCTAACTGGGCCAATACAACAAATTGGTAATTGTGTTTTCCCAGGAGGTGTTGCTAGAAAAACAAGCAAGATGGTCTGCACTAAAAATGCTTTTAGTGACATGTTGACTGAATTATGTTTCCTGTCTCTTTCTTTCAGGCTTGGTTGAAGAGGGAAGTCTCTATGTCTTTAAGGACGAGCGGTTGATTGAATTTGATGGGGAATTGTCCACGGATGTCTTGGTGGAATTCCTTTTGGATGTAAGCATAGATAAGCTCAAAGCTAGACAAAGCCTTTCAGTAAAGAACTTGCAAATACTCTGCTAAAAACTATGGCTTTAACTTTGTTTGAAATTCCATCCCTGTTTGCTACACACTGGTAGAGATGACATTTGCCAGTTTCCCAAGTACTTGTTTGACCATGAGTTCCCAGTAAACCTGGTACCTTTATATGTCACCAACCACTTGTATCTTAAAGATGTTCCAGTCTCTTTCCTGTTTATGCACCACTTGATTGGAAGCAAGCAACAATCCCACATAACTGACAGCTATTCACACACCTCAGGTAGCAAATTGGTGTTCAAACACTTTACTATTTGCAAAATCTTTCATTCCTTTTTTTTAAAAGAGTTATTAAAAAGAATAATCCAAGATGTAGCATTCTCATGGAGCAAATAAAAAGAGCTCAACTGATTGAAAAAAGGGATATGCTGCAAACTATTTGACCATTCCTAGAAACAACTGCACAAATAACATAGTGTCCTCCTAACTCTTCAGTGAACTTACCAAATTGCAATGCCATGAGTTAGAAGACTTCAAGGCCCTAGGACTTAGTGCTCCCTGGTCTTTTAGTGCATGAGCACAACTACTTACTCACCTTTGTGCCTAAATGCAAGAGAGCTGCACTTATTTTTCTTTAGGTTTAATACCTAGGAGAGTCAATAGCCCAAAAACATGGTCTTTGCATTGCAGTGAAAACATTTTGAAGCAGCTTTGCATTCCTTTGAAATGAGTCTCCCTTTGTGAGCAGCCCTGCACTAATGCAGATAAGGGAGGTAAGGAGAGCAGCAGAGACGGCAGGGTTTCTATCCTAGGGGAGCAGGTTGCCTAAACGGTGACCTGGGATGCAGGAGTGCTGGTGGGGAGAGACATGGCCAGGTGAGAGAAACAGCTCCCTGGGACTTCAGCTTTCCTGCAGTGATGTCTGTGCCTGTGTGCATCAGATACTGTGGCCAAAACACATGCAAGTGGCTTCAGAGACAGAAATGGGCATCTTTTCCACTCAGATACGGTAAAGCCGGAGCATCACTCGCAATGGGTGCAGAAAAAGACCTTTTTTGAGGCTTTGCTTGCTGTGCTTTGTAGTATGCCTCTGAAAAATCATGTTCTGTGAACAAAGGAAGAGAGCAAGGATTTCTGTTTGTGTTTTCTCCACTCAAGAGGGAAAATACCTAGCAAAGCAGAGAAATAAAACCAAATGCATCTGTGGTGCCTTGGCTGCCTGATCTGAAAGGAAAGCAAACCCAGAGGTTCTCTACTCCTCTGTAGGCTGTACAATGACCTGCCTGCATTTTTTTTTTCCTAGTAAAACCACACCTGATTTACACCAGCGTTGCTGGGCAAAATAATCAGACCAAGTCTTCTCACCAGCAGTGGCCAGTTAAGAAAACAGAAACAAAATTTGGACTAATGGCAGGCTGAAGCAGTGGACAGGTCTTCCATCTTCATCATCAACATCGTGATGTGTTTGGAGCCAAAGTACGGGCTTAACTCATTCTGAATAGGAGGATCAGCCAGGAAAAATCACATCCCGACTTTCCACTGCTTCAAATCACTGTTTGACCACCCTCTAGTGTGCTGGTTTTAATGTTCTCCAAAAGCAAGTGCTTTGCAATGACCTCTTCCAGCAATTGACACTTGAAAACAAATATATCCATTACTCACAGAAGTTCAGACCCCATACCAGCCCCTTTCAACTGCTCTCCCTTTTTCTCAGCCTCACTAAATCCTGGAGCAATTGCTATCCCTTATCTCTCAGCACAACAGGTCCCTCAGCATCCATGTAGGTTACCCAGCCCTCTCTCAACTCCCCTCCTGATGCTTCAACCTATGCAGTGAACCTACTAACAGCTCCCTCTGAAGGTGACCTGCATTGCTTGGTTCCTCCCATTAAGGTAGAGAGTGATAAGTAGGGCTTCCAGCAGCAGAGAAATTGGGTGGCCTCTTTCTCTCCACTTAGGCTGCTAGTGGCACACCCTGCCAGGCTTAGGTTGGTGCTGCAAATCGTTGCTTTATCAAATGCGTTTGTCATGGCAGCTGCTGGAAGACCCTGTGGAGATCATAAACAGCAAGCTGGAGCTTCAGGCCTTTGACCAAATCGACGAGGAAATCAAACTCATCGGCTACTTCAAAGGAGAAGACTCTGAACGTAAGATGAATATGTTCCTCACAGGGTTTGGAGTTTGGCTGGGAGTGCTGAGGTCAGGCATTGCTTCTTATAAATGAACATTAAGGGCATTGAAGTATACAGCAGGCTGTGACAGTGCCAAAGTTGCTGGAGGATGAGGTGGGATTGCAGGCAAGTTTTTTGCTGTTGCTACGCATGAGCTAGTTCCTACAACAACAGCTGTGACCCTTCTGTAAGGTAACAGGGGAAGGCGGTGATAATCCAGTGCCTCCTGAAGTGAAGTAGGTCTGCCTCACTCAAAGTCAGCTGAGGTTACAGTTACATTGGGTGAGCACCTAAAGGGAGCAAAAGTTTCCTTCTTATGAGCGGTGAGCCAAAAAGGTCAAGGAAAGAGGGATGGTGGCAAAGGTGAAGAGGGCTACACACATTAAATACAATCTGGGCAAACATGATGCAGCAGTAAGCAGGGTGGATGCCTTAGGGCAGTCTGGCAGAGGCACTGACCCATTTCTTCTCGCTGGACCCCAAGATTGAGCGGAGCTGGCCCTGTGCCCTGAGGGATGTGCAACTTGGGGACCATTGCAAGCAACACCGTCATCTTTCATGATCCTTGAGAACCCCTCACCCAAGTACTCTCTCCAGCACACCCCAGCAGTCTCCTCTGCCAGCCCCAAGCGCTCCCCCTGCTCACCAGGTGCTGCTGGCAGCATGCACCCCACACCTGGGAGGCTTGCCTTTCACAAAAAAACAGGTATTCTTACCTGAACAAGCAATGTATCACAAGGTCTGCTACACCGCAACAGCCCATCCACCTGTCCCTTCAGCTTGCTCACCCCCTCAAAATGGGCTGCAGGGCAGTTTGGGCACAGCTGCATCCCTAACACTGTTCAGTACTAAGTATTCTGAAGTAATGTGGAAAATATCTGTTGTAAAGAGCACCCACCAGGCCAAGAGCATCCTTCCTGACCTCAGCAGAGGACCTGATACCAGTAACAGTAAAAATGTACCCTGTTCCTGTCCCCTCCTCCTGCAGCAGCCAGAGTGTGCCTAACCATGCTTGGTGTCTCTTTAGGGAATGGCAGCCACCATTAAAGCTGGAGTGACTCCATGTATTTCCCAGGCTGAACTACTGCTTGTGCAAGTTTATCAACGGACTGGAGTTGTAACCCCTGGACGTGCTTTACAGAGCTGCTGCTTTCAGCCCCAGATAAGCGTGGCGTGCCAGGATCTGTAGTTTTGCTGAGCACTGGGGGGCTGCACAAAGTGTGTCCTACTCGCTCTCATGAAATGGCCCCTGTTAGTAAACCCTGGAAGGGTGTAAGAAACATAGTGCTGTCATCTGATGCATTTTGCAATAATTTCCATTTGTTCTTCCCTGGTGCCTTCTGTGCTGATCAGAGCGTGGCCAGCTGCTTGTGAAATCTTTTCTTTATCCCCTTTTCTCCTTCCAGATTACAAGGCATTTGAAGAAGCTGCTGAACACTTCCAGCCGTACATCAAGTTCTTTGCCACCTTCGACAAAGGGGTAAGCATCCACATACCTCGCTGTGTGACCTCACAGACTCCACCATCTGTTTTCAAGAAGCTCAGGATGTTCCCAGATTTAATATCTGGCTCCAGCTTCTCGTTTTTGGTGTTCCTTTAATTTGTGGTATTGCTGTCCACATTTGGATTTGGCTCTATCACAAGATAAAAGACCATTTCTGCAGCATGGAGGCAGATCCTTGTCTGAGTTTGGAAATCAACCCCATTAGGTTTGTGGGACCTTGACTGTCCTTGCTCTGCCCCAGTGCTTGAGACCAGTAGTGTAGAAAGCATCAGTGTTTTTTAAAACCAAGAAAACATCCATTCATATTTTGTTGGCTAACCCTAAAACCGCATGCTCTGAAAGAAAGCAAACAACTTGTCCTCAGCTCTGCCACCAGGAGAGACTCTGGGTAGGGAAAAAGGCACATCAGGCTCACTCACCTCTGACCATCTGCACTGCAACAGGTTGCCAAGAAGCTGGGTCTGAAGATAAATGAGGTAGACTTCTATGAACCATTTATGGATGAGCCTGTTCACATCCCTGATAAGCCTTACACAGAAGAGGAGCTGGTTGAATTTGTGACGGAGCACAAAAGGTATGTAGCGTACAGGACATCCTGGCCATGGCAAGTGGATAAAGGTGTCTGTCATTGCAGGCTTGTCCATCTAGGACATGCCTTTCAGAAAAAATTAGGATGACGACCACCTTTTGGTGATTTTCTGATCCAGGTCTGAGATCCTGGCTAGTCTTTCTCACCACCACTGCTGCAAGTACTAGTGCTGCAATCATAGCCCACCATTGTGGGGCTGTTATAACACAGATTCCCTCCTCCTCCTCCCTTGTTAGTCCTCCCTCAAAAAGCAGGGAGGCTTGAAGGCAGTAGAGAGCAGAAACTTTGCCCTATGCCTTTAATTAGGTCTGTACAGAAGATGATCTTCTCCAAGGCCTCTCAAGCCAAAACTAAATTCTCTTCAGTCCCCTCATTCCCCAAAACAGCTTCACTAACGGGTATATCCCCCTTCTGATGTCAGATATGTGTGTAGGCAGGCTCTGAGCTCACACCAAGCTCGGAGGAACCGTAATGGACTAAGAGGCTCCTGCTGACCACAGTCACAGAGAGGAAGCCACTGCTGTTATGGCTATGTTGGGTCTAGTGTTTGGTCAACACATCAGGAGCTGTGGATGCTCCATGCTTTTTGTGGTCAGGTTTATTGCTTTTGTTTAGACTCAGCTACCAACAGCCTAGAAGTGACTGGAAAGGCTGATCCTGTGCAAAAGCACAGGGTCATATGTAAGGGCACAAATACCTATGAGGTGCTGTAGTTTTACACCTTTAAAAATACAGCACAGGACAGTCACACAGGACAGTCACACAGGCTGTCTGCTGCCACGGTAACTGAATTTCCCAGCAGACATTCAAGAAACCAGAAAAGAGTTCAAGAAAAGCAGGGCCATCGACATAGTTGGGGGGTCCCAAAACGGGTTAAGCGGGAGGTTTCTGTTCATACACAGAGGGTTTAAAGACAGGAGATCATCTCCGTAATCCACAAGCCACCAGACTTGGAAGCAGATCTCTGCTTTTTCTGAAATAAGAAGGGGTCTTCTGTCTCCCATTTATTCACAGGTCACTTTGCTGATCTCCTGGACCTCCTGACCTCAGTTCTTCCCATCTTTTTTCCCCAAGCTCTTTCTGTCAGGCAGCAGTGTCAGGAAGCTGATTAAACACTGTCAGCTAAATGATAGCCCAATAAGGCAAGCTCTCCACCAGCACAAAATTGCAGTGGAAACCCCTCAAGTCTTACATATTTCAAGATGCTATGTGGCCCTTGGTTGCAAGGGGTTGGGCCATTTATTTTGCAAGTACCAAGGCTCAGAAGGGAATTAAAAAGAGTCTCATGAAATCAGACGCTTGAAATACCAAACCTGTCAAGGTGCTGCTATGGCAGGAGAAAAACCCTGGGATGACAGCAATATGTTCCCAGCAGTTCATGATGAGTCTTGTGGAGCAGAAGTGCTTCTTCCTGCCTTGCCACCAGTAAAGGACCTAAAGCCAAAGGCTGGAGGTGGAATTAGTAAGACACAGAGATGATCAGTCCTGTAGAGGAAAATGAAGCAACCTCAGCACCTGCCATGTGCTCGCTCCCTGTAGATAATTCTGCAGCATCTTCTCCTCTGCAGGACAGTGTGGAGGACCACTCACCTTCCACCTCACCCCAGCTGGCAGGCATGGGTTATCCTTCTGTTAAGGTGCAAAGCCCCGCTGCCACCTCTCCGTCCCCCGGTAGAAGCCCTGTCACATCACTGGGGAAAGCTCACAGTGCTCAGCAGTACCCAGGCTCTTTGGCAGGCTTTAAACAGCCCTTCCAAAAAGGGCATGCCCAGGCAGGCTTCGCCACCTCCTCCCCCAGCCCTACCCAGGAATTGGGATTTGCTGAGCTTTCACTGCAGCGTTGAGACAGGAGCTGAAGCAGGTGCCCAGGAGGAGCCCATACGCAGCCTCCTGGTTGATGCTTCCCTGGGCAACTGCAGGCAGTGGTGGGAAAGTTCATCCTCTCCCAGGCAGGTTGTGAAGCCGGTGTTCAGCACAGTGGTGTGCTTCTTCCAAGGCTGCATCGCTGATGGGTGTCTGGCTGGGGATGGTGGCCAAGTGCCGCAACTCTGAGGTTTCAGCCCAGATTTTGCTCTCACAAATACAAATTATGTGGTAGTTGCACTGCTTGCAGCAAGAGGCCTCTGGTTTTATGCCTCTTTCACATGGAAAATGCTGGGAGTGGGCATCTTGCCCCCAAATTCTCTGTAATTGTGGTGTAGAAATGTGGGGGCTGAATTCTGCTCCCTCTTAATCACCTAAACTCCACTTACACAGAACAGGGAAGTAACCAGAGTAAATCTTTAGTGACTCTGCATCAGTCAGTACATGTAGGTGTGATCAAATCCTTCTTACTGAGTTTCCTTTCTCTGAGAGCTGCTCCTAGAGAATGGCTAGGGAAAGCATCTTGAAAGCCACATAGAAGAACATAATATGTATTCATGTCTTATAATGTCCAGTTTCTGACAGTCAGCAATGAGGAGACTTGCTGGGTCAAAAATTGTATCCCTGGTCTTGTGCTTAGTGGCTACTTCTTCAATTTCTATAGTTATTTTCTGCCTCTTTTCTATTTTGATGCTGAAAGTATCCCATTGTAATGAGTTCAGTGGCTGAATTATGTGTTGCATCAAAAGGGCATTCATATTTGTTCAGTTTGTACCTGCTACCTCATAATTTCACTGTATGCCTAGTACCTCTTGCGTTGAAGAACAATGACTAGCTATTCTGTATTTCACTTTTTTTTTTTTGCCATTCTCAATTTTTAGACCTCCTCCCAAATCCCTCTTGAGTGACCTCTTTTACAAGCTAGGAAGTTCTTATCTATTTAATCTCCATCAAACAAAGGTCATTCCATACCTTCATTTACCACTGCCATGTTTCCATGTTCCTTTAGATTTGCCCCATATAATTTCTGTGACGGGATGACCAGAACACCACATACATTCACTGTGAAGGTGCATAGTGTAGTTGTCCATTGACACAACAGTATGATGTGTTCTACTTCTTAGTCATCCCATATTTGTAAACTTCTTTTTGCCTTTTGCCTTTGGAGCAGATTCTTTCTCAGTTTGTGACACCTGGGACCTTTTCCTGAGTAGTAATAATTAATTATAACTAATGTAGAAGCCAGTGTTGCACCTGTATAATCAGGGTTGTTCTTCTGCAAGGCAGTTCACTGCACTGATCAGCATACCTTCACCTCTTGTTGACTTGCTCTGAGAACCCCAGCTGGTCCATGGCCATGATTTGTCTCTTAAAGGCCATGCATCTCTTGTTTCATCACATCATATTCCTTCAAATGTCTGTTAACTCTACTTTTTCTGGTAGCATCGTGCCTGTAAGGAAGGCACCCTTGCAGATCTGTGTCTCCTCAGGTCCTTTAGGAACATCTAAAATATGCTTCTTGTTTCCATTGTTCTGGTAGCAAGGCAAATTGAAGCAATGGGTTACACATCTTACTGATGTACTGGTTCTGGCAACATGCTGCTACTCCCTTTATCAACCTGTTCTGGGATCTCATCGATTGACACTTCTCTTTGCAACAACTCTGGGGCTGGTCAGCCAGGGAGACCTGCTCTGCTGTGGGAACCTCCCTCAGCACCTGATGCCAAAGTGAGCAGAGGTGCAAAGGATTACTTGTGCGTGTCTGTTATGGCCTTACATTCCTTGGGTGGCCCTTTAACACCCCAGTCACCTTGCAGTCTGCCAGGCTCTCTGACAGGCTCCTTGCTACAGATGTGTCTGAAAATATTTACTATTCTTTGGGGTTTTTTTGTCCTGTAGGAACTACTTCTCAAAAAAGTTTACTTTGGCCAGTTTTATGGTTTACATTTTCTTGCCTGCTGTCATGATTGAAATTTCTTTGCCAGAGGTTATTCTGTCATCTTTGCTTCAGCAGAGTTTGGAAGGATTCTTGTGGTAGAATTATCTGGAGTAAAACTAGGAGAAAAGGGCAACAAAACCCAGTAGGGACGTCCCAGAGACTGCAATACACAAGTGAATGCGTCACCTCATGCTCTCAGACTGGACAAAACAATCTGCCATGGATGGAACTAATTCACCCCAGCACAGAGAAGCATCTCATCTTCCCAAGCACAAATGGTGTCTGCAGTGACTCCAGTGGGGGCAGGGGCAGGGTTTTATCACCATAAATAAAAGCATAAGTTGACCTATAGTGCTCCCATGCTTGCATTCAAAATGTGGTTGTTGATGGTGCTGACTCCAGCCGCCCATCGAATGTATCACGGTGACCTTTCCAGTGACACTGGCAGCGTCATGTATGATGGTGCTGGACACATTCTCAAAGAGCATTTCTGTATTCCTTTCAGGGCTACTTTGAGGAAACTGCGCCCAGAGGACATGTTTGAGACATGGGTAAGCATGAGCAGGTGGGAAACCTTGCATCCCCTGCTAGCTTTCAGCATGAAGCCACTGGTCAAAGGCTCCAGCCTCTAGCTGGGCAAAACATTATCTTTCCTTCCTTGCAAAGCCATTTTCCCCCTGCCCCGGGAAGGAAGAAAACCCTTGGCTATGGTGCCCAAGTTCAAATGGTGTGCTCAGATGCTTTGCTCAACAGCAGTGACAACTGAGCTGGGACCTGTTTGCTCCACAGAGAGAATAGGGAAAGCTAACCAAGTGCGCCAGGCAGGTGTTGAGCCTCTATAGGGGCCATGATATAGCTATGGAGAGCATTCTTCCCATGCTCTATCTTATCTAACAGGTATCAGTGCTGGTGGTGGAGTGACTTCAGGGGCCTGCTTGCTCGGCAAGCCACAGAGGTCGTACTGAACATATGACTCACGGAAATTGTACCAGAGCAGTTGTACAATTCAAAATGCAAGCGAGGGCAGGCAGTTCAGTTAATTATATGGATCACAGAGCAAATTGTGCGTTGATTGCACTTCTCACGGTGTGAGCAAGCAGCAAGTCAGTGGTTGCGAAGAAGTAACCAGTGGTTTGGCAGTGGTCACGCACAGAGGGCTCTCCTGGTCTGCATGTGTGAGGGAAAAGGGGAAGGGTGTAAACGAAAGAAAAATTGCGTCTAACAAATTATCCCTTTGCTGTGAATGAGTACAATGTTTAAATAACTAGTTAGGGACTTTCAAGTGCCAGCTGAGTGCTGAAAAACAAAGCTGAACAGGTGCTTTACAGATGCTGAGGAAGATGCAGTCATTACTCCAGAAAGCTCGGCACATTTATAACATCATTCAGTTGCCTTCTTGTTTGACAGTGTAACATAAAACGCTGCGGGACTCCAAAGCACCAAAAACCTTGGGAGTCTTTAATACAACAAAGCAAGAGGTAATAAAACTGAATCAGGAGTTATGAGTCACTTAGGCATGATAGCTTTTCAGTTTATTTTGAAATAGAGAATCTGTATAGAAAATAGCTTCTTAGAGGCATTGAAGTCCCTCAAAGCTTTTTCATGGGGCTTCAGTGAGACCTAAATTTCACATGCAATTGTTTTGCTTTCATATTGAACATATTCTAAAATCACCTCAGGAAATGTGTGAATTGCTGGTGGTGGGATGTTCCCAGCTTCCCTCCACTACGAGCAGGGGACTCATACCTACAGGAGACAACGGGCTGGATTCTGATCTTGCAGCAAGTTCAGAACATCCTCAATGCCTTCACTGGAGTTACTCCAGTTTTGTCTGCTGCCTTGGAGGTCAGAATAAAGCTATAGTATATAGCTATATATGTAATTACATCATATATGTATCGCATATATATTATTTTCTTTTACATTTTGCTATCTGACAATGCTGTCAGCAAATACAGAGATAAAGCACAGTGTAGATTTTGCCAGCTGTAAATGGTCTGAATCCCAAGAAAATCCGCCTAGAATACCCTGGTGAAAAACGTATTCCCTGAAGATTCCAGCAAAGGTCCAGCATCTGCTATTGTTTTGAAAGATAATGTTTTCCACTTAATCTTTCAGAGTTTTTTTTCCTTTCAGTTTTTGATGGTGGCTTTGTCACCTCTGGGCTCAGAAGGGAAAAGAAATTAGCATTTAGATGGGAATTTTTTCTCGCATTAAACCCAATTGAAATGGAAACCTGGACCGGCAGCGGGTGAGGAAGGCGAAGCCGATCTGTGGGATAATTCAGAGATGACATTCATAGCAGGCGGATGATGAACCGGCCAGCAGATCCATTGGCCTTTGCCAGTATCATTACCCATTACTCACGTGCCTCATGGAGAAAAACAGTCCACCAGGCTGTCATTTCTGTCCTTCGCTCATTGGAGCCCTGAAATTAGCCTCTCACTTAATTCCCCTCACTGCTCACAGAGATCTTCACCTAGAGCAAGAGATCCTTCACCTCCTGAAAGTTGTCACCTTGCCTCTCCTATTGTTAGGAGACCTCCTTTGCTGGCCCCAAAGGAGCATGGTACCAGATGTTTGTTTCCCCACAATGACCCCCTTGCAGCTGCAAATTTATGAGGGTAGGTGGCCTTGGGCACAGAGGGTGAGCCCATCTTCCCATGTCAGAGAGCTCACAGCCTTCCTTGCAGGCAAGGTTTTGCCCCACACCATCAGAAACTCCTTTCCTTTGCCATTGTGGTGCCCACCTCATTTTTAGATGAAGGGTTTCAGCCATGCTATCTAAGCTACACACTTCAGCACTTAATAACCTCCATGACTCAGTCTCCCCTCAGCTCCCATTTCTAGTGCCTTGGTGGGGCTCCAGTCAAGCCTCCCTTCGCAGTTGACCTGTTTGTGTGAAGGCATCCCATTGCTCCTCGTTTTTGTCCTCCCTACCTGGCCCATCAGTAATAATTTTGCTGTTTCCAGGAGGATGACATGGAGGGAATCCACATTGTGGCTTTCGCTGAAGAAGATGACCCAGGTAGGAGGCTGTTTTCCTCCTTGTGTGACTTCCCATCACTCAAGAAGGTAGAGTCTCTTGTGCTTTGTTTGTATTGTGGAGCCCCATGCCCCAGCTGGGAAGGAAAGCTCCAGCCTGCCAGGATGGTGAGCTGGGATGCTTCTGGGTGTTTATGCTAGCGGGTGTGCTAGCCAGAATTCAAATTCTGCATATAAACAGATGGCTGTCTGGAAAAAAAGTCATTCCCTTCACCCCAGCACCAGGAGTTGCTCCCTAACTCTGCATCCATCTTGCTGTACAGCTACAGGAAAGTGCTGGAGGGCTGGGTGTGTGATGTACATGTGGGAAACCCATAGACATCAGCTCCTGAAAAGTCATGGCATGGTGCTTCTCAGAGCCATCAGTGTGCCAAAAAGCTATGGCCTCTCGGGGGCTCAGTTCCTCCCTCGCCACAAGAAAATAGTGACATTGTTCCACTCCATGGAAGGATTATGAGACTTAATTCATGTGTAACTAATTTCAATACCCGGGGAGGATGGTCAAAATTAAAAGCCTTATTATCAGCAGAAAGAGCTGGGAGACAGCATTTTAATGAGAACTATAAACAACTCCTGTGTGCAGAGGGGGGTGAGGGAAGTTGAAAACCCCGCAAGCAAAAAGTGCCTGCGTGTTTGCAGGAGAGGGCTGCAGCGGTTCATGTGTCATTTCAGATGGCTTTGAGTTCCTGGAAATCCTGAAGCAGGTTGCCAGGGACAACACCGATAATCCCGACCTGAGCATTGTCTGGATTGACCCCGATGACTTTCCTCTGGTGAGTGGCAGGGGCTCCTTGTTTTTCCTCGTTTAATTCATGGAGTGGGGGGGGAGTGTTGTGTATGCAAGAGCAGGAATTGCCTCAGGGAATTTGGGATAGGGAAGGATGGGAAACTGGATCACAGGCAGTCGTTGAAAGCTGCTTGTTTGAGTCTGTCTCCCATAATGTTTTGGGAACACCTCCAGAGTCGGCACTTTCCTTTGCCATCTGTGGCAGCCCAAGCTTGAGTTCAGCCTCTCTTCTCTCCCGTGCACTCATGAATGCACCCTCCCTGCACTGCAGCCCAGCAGGCTGAATTGATGCAACAGGTTATCACAAACACACTTGCCTCAATCTTTGCTTCTCTCTCCTGCAGCTGATCACTTACTGGGAGAAGACCTTCAAGATTGACCTGTTCAGACCACAGATTGGGGTGGTGAACGTCACAGATGTGAGTAGCATGTGCCCAGAAAATCCAGCGATCCCAAGGTTAGGATGCTAGAAAGGGTGGAAACTGAAGTCTGCTGGAATCAGTGGGATTTCTGGTGTTAAGTGGAAGTAGACCAGGCTCTTTTTCCAGGAAGAAGTGTAGAGACCTCACCATTCATAACACCTCCAGAATCCAACTTCAGGCCTTCGATCTGAGCACACAAACCATGTCTGCTGAGGACAGGACCAGCCCCTGTGGTCTGAGCTTCAAGGCTTTGCCTTTCTTTTCAAGGTCTCCCACTTCCACCCCAACCCACAGCATGCACCATTGTGCCCTGCTCTGAGTGAACTTGGGTGGGCTTGTGGGAGAAAAATTGTATGCAGGGGATAAGTGAGCCATGCTTACGGGAGGAGAAGAGGAGAAAAAGGAGGATGTTTTTGCAGCAGAAGCAGGAAGGCCCAGCTTGAGTGTAGGAGGGAAAGCTGGTCCCCAGCAGACAACACAGAGAAACTGCACAGCTTGACAAGAAAACAAACCCACAAATAAATACATAGCCTTAATAAGAATATGACATAAACCGGTACTGGAGGGATTCTCCTAGGACAAAGAGCGTATACTGGGGTTCATCCAGGCCCTCCTGCTCCTCAGCCACTGCTGTGCGGGTGGTGTTGGAGGCATTTGGAGATGTGGAAGAGGAGACGTGTCTGCCCCACGGCTGGTAGCAGTGAGGGTTTCCACAGTGTCCACAGCTGCGCTATCAGGCCAGCTTTCTAGCAGTAACTGTTAGTCCCATGGTTGCCTTCAAGCCAGAAAGCCATGGAACTGATGTCAGGTTGCCTGCACACAGTGAGCTTTTAAGGCAGGTGGGAGAGGGACCCATCTGACCCCCGCCAGCAGAGATCTGAGGAGCACTGCTGAGTGCAATGTAACCTGCATCACAGCCTTGACATAACTACAGAGAGAAACCATTTTTCCCCTTTCTGACAATAGATCAGAGAGCATGTAATGCGGTGCACTCCAGCCTGGCTCACTTATTACCTTGGATTATTTTTTATGGTTAAGCATTGAGTGTTTTGATCTCTTTAAAACAAATCTGTGTGTAAGTGTCTCTGGAAATAGAAAACTCCTTGATGCAGAAGAGTTCGTAATTTGGTGCTTGACTTTGTGTTCGAAATTTCAGCTGCATGGGAACCTGATGTTTCATTAGAATAGAGCAGAGAGGGACTTAGACTTGGGACAACTGGCCAGGGGTGGGCACTGGTCCTGGCTCCACCTTGCTCCTAGACCCCATGTCCTTTCTCCTGTACCTTCCCAGAAAAAGAGGGACAGCGAGGGTGTACTAGACAGTTGTGCCTCCTGTTCTAACAAATGTTGCAAGACCATAAGATGGGAAGCATGATAGGGAAGACAAAGAGGTGGTGTAATGAAGAAAGTGGAAACCCTGGATCTTGCCCATCCCAATGAGGGGAAGCGCACAAGCTGGCTTGGGAGTCATTGAGTAGATGTGGAGCTGGCTGGATGTGAGCAGTGCTTTACCTGTAATACAGCATCATCCATCAGATCATGGGACAGACACCTAGAGAGTGGGGATCCAGTGAGTTAAGTCTTGTTAGCAGAATTGTTAACAGAAAGACAAAAGAGAAAAGGGCCAAGATAGAATCTGTCACCTAAAAACATGAGAGGAATGGACAAGCCACAAACAGAGCCCAAGTCATCCAGTCTTTTGGCCTTATTACTCGCCCATAGTATCTCTCTTCATTACATTTACCATGGCTGGCCATGTTTAAGTCACATCAAAGCTACATGAAACAGCTGTCAATGGAAATTCATGGAAATAGGATAGTCAGTGGCAAGAGAATCATATAGAAAGCAGTATTAGGCAGGAACATATGCTTTATTAGCCAGCAGTCACTCAGAGACCTGTAAAAACTCATGCATTATCTAACTTCGATATAGTAAATGTTTCAGGTTGTTGACTATAGTATTTGCAGTTTTTACTTCATTTCTCTTATGTCTGTTTTCTATTCCTCAAGAGAGAGATTTAAGAAAGTTCTAGGTTGGTGGGTGATATCTAAAACAAACACTGAGCTCATTTCATTATTTTGGTGTTACATCACTGCATTCAGCCAAGTTACACAGGTACAAAGTGGGGCTTACACAATGGAGTAAAAATAAACACTGCTGTTGGCTTCGGTGGACATAACCCCTGTGACCCCATCGCTTCTCTAAAAACTGCCAATACAAACACCAGAGCTCCCAGCAGCCCCTGCTGCCCTGTCACATCGTGGTGGCTCAGGACTAGGGCCATGACGCACTGCAAAACACTGCTGCTTTATTTGCACAGCATCTTCTCTAGGTGCAGTGGGCCCTCTCCTCTTTCTCTTATTTAAATGTGTCACTTTTTGCTGCATAACCAGTCCTGAGGCTGGGGACAAAATCATTTGCATGAAGCAAATGCTGCATGCCACTCCGTGGCTCTTTTTTATTACAGTTTTGGTGTTTTAGGAGGAAAATATTGTAAGGGAGAAACAACTTTCCTTGAGCAGAAATTGGTCTGGCTTTTTAGCAAGCCATACAACAAAGAGAATTAGCCATCACAGATATGGAAAGAAGCTGGGTGTATTTGCAAAAGCTCGTAGTTATCTTCTGACGTATGAAAAGCACTTGTTTCTGCTGCAGCAAATGCTGAATGAGATAACCTCACGGCACCTCTGCAAAATAGGAGGCTGGTCCTATTTTATGAAGGGAAGATAGTGAAGGGAAAGGGGCTCACCTAGGCATTTACCCAAGGAATGTATAGCAAAGCAGAGGGGAGACCATTCATTTCCCAGTCTCAGAGGCCATCTAAGCTATGCTTCCTGTCCCTGGCTAACAGTCACAATTTAGACAGCATCTTCTCACTGCATTTTAGGCAGCATCACCTTACTGAATATCTCCCATCCCCTCTAGTTTATTGAAGTAATGGAGAGAAAGAGCAGGAGGCATCTGTAGTCCAAAGCATCAGTGTTTTTCACCATTTGTCATCTGGAGCATAGTTGAGATTATCTGAGGAAATGCTATTCCAAAAGGAGGAACTCCTGTCACATGTAGAGAAGACAGAGAAATCTCCTGAGGGAAAGGTGACGGTAAAAGAGGCTGGAGAGAAAGGCTGCTGACAGCAGGATGTAAAAGCTTAAAGGAAGATGTCCCAGAAGGGATCTGAAAGGAAGGAGGGAAACACTGTGGTGTCCTGTGAACTGAAGCGATGCAGGGGTAGCTGGCATAGGTCTCCTTACGCTCTCTGCATGTAGACTTGGAGTTAACAGAACTGGCCAGACAGAATGAGTACAATGCTTTTGCTTGCAAGTGTAGGCAGTGCAGGAGAGGAACAGGCAGAAGGCACACATCTAACCCAGGGCAAACAGTTCCACACACTCACGTAAACACCTTGACCAGTTCCACTGTCCCTAGTCAAGCATCAGCACCTCAGGGGGAAGTGGTAACCCCAACGCGTGGGCAGAGAGACATTGTGGTTGAGCCTGCCCACAGACTCTGGCAGAGAGGGAGCTATTACCACCACCACCCCTGCATCCCACCTGTGGTCAAGCCCTTAGCCCCACAACAGCAGCAAACCTGATCTCTTCCCTGTGTCTCTGAGGATGGCTAATCACCCATGCCCTGTCCCCGCAGGCTGACAGCATCTGGATGGAGATCAGAGATGACGATGACTTGCCCACAGCTGAGGAGCTGGAGGACTGGATAGAGGATGTGCTTTCTGGGAAGATAAATACTGAAGATGATGACGATGATGACGATGATGACGACGACGACGACGACGATGACGATGATGATGACGACGACGACGATGATGACGATGATGACGATGACGATGACTAACTGTGACTCTGAGCAGTGTGACTTGTGGGGGCTCAGTGGCCTCGCCCTGCGGCAGGTCCCTCCATCAGAAGACCTGTGTTTGAGCGTCAGCAAGCACTGCTGCTCTTCTTTCCCCCTTGCCCTGCTCCCCCTGACCCTGCCCTTGCCGGGACCCCCCAGCCTGATTCTCAGCGGTGCTGAGCCACTGGGACTGCCCCTGCAGGCACCCAGCACCACTGCAAATCATGCCTCCTTAGTAAGGACATTAGGAATCTGCAGGGAATCTGCCCCCAGTGCTCCAGGGCAAGAGTATAGTGCCTGCCTGCTTGCTGCCGGAGGGACACAGGGAGCCAATTTGTATTTTCCATGCTCATCGGCCCAGCACATAACATCCAAAGACCAAATCTCACTTCAAGTCATAGGGAAGGCCACTGTAAAATTTAGTCCTTTCATTAAACACAATGCTCTCTGCAGCTACTCTGCCAAGACCACTCAATTCTGCAAGTTCTGCTGCAGGAGTCTGTAGCTACTCATTAACATGCCAGGAACAGCAAAAAGCTTTGGGAGGGGAGGAAGGTTTTAGAGATATTATTTAGGTTTCCAGTGATTCCATATAATGACAGGATATTCTTGTCTGGCAGTGCAATGCAAAACCAAACACCACAGTCCCTGTCTGAACCTCTTTCTTCTTCTTGAAAGCTCAGGCCAAGGATAGGGTAAATGCAGGTGGTCTGATATGGGACATCAAAGCTTGCGAGTTCCTGAACTGTTGAAAAGGCTTATCCAGGTCTGAGCCCAAACTCTTGAGGCTGAAGATCATGGCACTGAGCCAAATCATTGGTCTTAACCCCAAAGAAACACCAGAGCAGACCCCAGGCCAGTTCCAAACACCTGCAGCCAGGCGTGGGCTGGGCCTACCTTGCCTTTCAGGTGAACCTAAGCGGGGTTGAAAGTGGTGCACATGAGATAGACAGCGTATTCCTGCCAGTGGAAAAATGTGTGGGGGCCCACCCTGAAGCCCTCCTATTCCCCATGACCTTCCAGCTGTAGCTGACTTTTAATCCAAATACTACAGAGCATCTTTTCCCATGACGAAGACATTGGGACGGAACACATCCATCCAACCATATTAGATGCTGGATAATGAGAGTTGGGCAATGAGCAGTGAAAGGAGTCAAGCTGTTTGGCTTTTAAGTATTCAGTTGCACAGTTACTCCCTGCTTAGAGTCTCCAATGTCCTGTGGTAGCCTGTGAGAAGCCTCTTTTGACTGCAGACTGAGAAGGAGCTCAGGGCACGGTCAAGGGGGTCACTCACAAAGCAAAGGGTCAGCAACTCAGTCCTGGTGAGTGCAGCACCATCCATGTGCAGGTCACTGCGGCAGTGTTAGGTCTCCCTGCTTTCCCATGCCAGCAGATTTCAATTGTCTTAGCTTATTAGGTTTGACAATAGTGCAATGAATGGAGAGTTTGAAGGTAGTTTTATCTTTATAAATATGTTCTCCAGTCGTTCAGACTTGTTAGCATAGGTAGGGTACACATGTACTCTCTTGCTACAGATGAAAAACATTGTTCTGACTTTCCTTATACTGGCTTACGTCAGAGGTAAGTGATGTTAGGGGAAATAACAGTGCAAAAGACAGGAGAATCAGAGCTCATTATATGAATGCGAATCAGCCTGATGAGAAACAAGGTTTACACATTATATAGTTCCGTGATTAGATGAACTGCAAAGCAAGATTTTATAGATTTTTTTTCCTGCCTGTTGATCAGTCTCTTTGACTCTCTCTCTCTACATTAGCTGAAATAGAAACTTGAAACTACTGATATAAAAAAGTAGTACTGATATATTCCTATGTGTGTCATACCCCCTTGGTGGAAAGTGCCAGCATGCTCAATATGCAGCTGGATATCTATATATCTCTATGTATATGAATGGGTATTGTGCTTATATGGTATATGACCGTAGGCCATGTTAGCTCCTCATTGAACATCAAACACTCAACCCGTGCTTTTCAGGCACAGCTTATTAGAAGAATAGAGAGGACAGCAAAGCCCCTAGGGCAACTGTTGTCTTTTATATACTTGCCCTTTCTTGCTTCTTTATAATGGACAAACACTGTCTGGAAGACTTGAACGAGGTAAGTTTGGGGAGAGCAACCACCTGGTCACACTGGGGTTATGAACAACTCAGCCTCATCCCAGGGGACCTGGTGGAGACTTTAATCAGAAGACTTGAAACACAGAGTGCTCTCAGCCTGGAGGTTCCCTCCTCTCCTTCACATATGGCCTCTTTCCTGGCCATAGGGGTAGGCCTGGCCAGCATCCTCCTCCTGCTCTCTACTTTCAGCTGTTTCTTCAAGTGGTTTGCTGGAGGACCCCAGCTCAGAGAGAGAGGGAGTGAGCAGGACTCAAGATCTCATTGATACACATCAGTAAGGAGTGAGAACAGCCAAAAGTAGCAGTTTAGTAGGCTCCTGGTCTGTGATAAAGGGAAAACGCTGCTGACATTACTCCCCTTAGCAAAGTACTTGTTTATCTTTACCTTGGGGCTATTTCCAGGAGTAAAACACACACAGTTTCATCTTGCATAAGGTAACAGCCTGCACAGGCCCTGCAGCTCTAGATCAGTCACTGCAAAGTGCCACAAATTTCTACAGACATGAAGAATAAATGAAAAACTGCTTGATTGCCTTTCCCAACTGGCACTGACTCTGGACATCCCAGTTGCCTGGGTACTCTCCACATACCTCCCCTCCTGCTGTGGATGCCCATCTATTCTGACATGCTCCTCTCTAGATGCTCAGAGAGGCACAGCTTACACAGGCAAAGCAGGTAGATGCTGCAAATGGCACTACACACATTTTTAAGTGCATGGGTGCTTCACAGGCATGTACACATTGAGCAACAGAACTCAGGGGCGACGGGGGGGGAAGTCAATGTAGTGGTTCTTAGGTTTATACGGAGGCCAGTGAGGCAGAGCTTATACTCAGGCCAGTGGTTTAAGAAGTTTCCCTCAAGGTGTGAGAGGTAAGTCCAAACCTATGGCTGTTCCTCCTTAGTGGTGCCAGTGCAGTCCTTGACGGGCCACCCTTTCCCTCTACCCTCATCCCCCTGTTACAGTTCCCATGGTTATCTTTGTCCACAAATAGGAACTTTTTATCTTCAGCTTATGGGATAAGTACATTAAAAGTTAAGAAAACATTGCAGCGGGGAAACATTGCAGCAGTGAAGATGAGCAGGCAGCAAAGCCTCTCCCATTCACTTCTAACCCCTCATCTCCCTCAAGTTTATAGTGACTGAACCACTGAAGTAATACTTCTTGTGAAGAAGATGGCAGCTTGAATTTGAGTGTCTTCCTTGCAGGGACAGGTAAGATAATGCTGTGGGAGCTATCACACACAGGACCCCAGGCGTGGGCACTCCTGGGCTCCTCTATCAGAAGTAGGCACAACTGACATGTGAAGGGCACAGATGACCCTGAGGAGCAAAGTCAGCCTAACCCTGCCCACTACACACTCAAAAGCTAAAGGTCAGTACATTTGGATGAGGAACCAGCAAAAAGACTTCTTTATTAAAAAAAAAAAAAGTGTGCATGTGGGCAGCAGTGTTTCTGCAGGCAAGTCTGTTAAGACTGTCCTTCTCTTCACAAACCATTCTTTTTCTCCAAAGTATTAATTACACATTCATATCAAATGGGTCTTAGTACACATAAGGAAAGACAAGGAATTGTACTTTGCCCTCAACCAACTTCGAGTGCTTCAAGCTGATCAGCCACTTTGAAATACCCAAAAAACCCAGCCTTACGAGCCCCCAAAGATGGTAAGGGCCTCCCATTGCAAACAATACATGGCAAGAACACAAATTCATATGCCACCTCCTCCCAGTCCCCAGAGAGAAGGACGCAGAAGAGTGGTTTGTACGGAGTCCTGTACCAGAGGCCACCCCATGCTGTTCACGGGCAACAATCAATGGAGAGGGAACCCCACCAAGAGCCACATACTACAGCTGTCATACAGAAGCATGGTGGAGAAAGCTGCTGCAGAGGGCCCAAGGACATTGGTGGAGAGGGTCTGTGAATCAGAAACTGCTCTGAGCTAATGCTAACCCTTTGGGAAACAGATCCAAAAGGAGAAGACAAGGGAGGCACGCTGGAAGCCACAGATTATTCCATATTATCAGGGTCAGTAGTTTTCACAGTGTTTCTGAGGAGTGGTGAGAGCCTTCTGAGAGTCTTCTCTGCTGTTGGGAGAGGAACAGTCCTGAAGTGACATCAGAGATCTTGGCTGCTTCCCATCCCATAAAAGAGCTGCTCAGCCAGATGCCAAGATGCATGCATAGCCGAGGACACCGGCTGCTTCTCTGTGTCTGTCCACACATCATACCTCAGAAATGATTGATTCATTACTGAGACCAAACAAAAACCATGGGCTTTTATTCCCAGAGAAATAATTAATTAGACAGGAAAATACCACTTCCCAGCTGCCGCTGACGTGCAGCGCTGTGAGAACAGGCCAGGATTGTGTCTGGATTCCTCTCTGCCCCAGCAAAGCTTTGAGGAAGCCCCACACACAGCCAGTTGCACACAAATGCTTGGACTTGTTGGGCTGAAGAGTGAAAACGGCTCAACAGGCAACAAACATCCAGGCCCTCCAGAGCAAAGCAAGCTGCCCCCTGGCTGCTTTTACATCCCAGGTATGTCTATGCTGCACAGTGCAATGCCATCTGCTAGAAACTGGAAGCAGCAAAGCACAGCAGAAGGATTATTAACCTCGGTGATGAGGCTGCATCAACAGGACTGTGTCCTGCCCAAGACCAAAGACACCCCACTGCACTGCAGCATCATCATCAGCCTTTGCCTCATTCCCTTGTACCACCGACATCTGGGCAAAGCAGCGCTCCCATGGTCAGTACCCCTTGGGTCAAGCAGTGGGACGGCTCTTACACCTGTTTGGCAGAAGAAGACATCTAGTGACGATGTGGACCATGGGGCAGAGTACAGGAAAGAGCCAGCCCTCTTGGGCCTACTCCCAGAACGCTTCCTGCCAGGTTTAAAAGGTGCTGAACTATTTAAAGGAGAGGAGGAAAAAAAAAAGCTATGGAGATTCATTGCATCTTGAAGACCCATTCCTGGAGTCGGATTACAAGCAGCCTTTGGGATGGAAGCTAAGATCCTTCCGGTGCCTCGCTCGCCCCTTCCGTTCCTCCCCTCGCACCTTCTCTTGCTGAGCCTCTGTGATGAAAGACATCAGCAAAGCACTCAAGGGACTTCTGGTATTGTATTTCACCTTCTTTTAACCCCCCTTGACTTATTACTCTTCTGGTCTTCATTATCTTCCCTAACTTTTTTTGCTTTCTCCATTTCTTCCAGTCTTCCTCTTCTCCTCAGCCCACCTCCACAGCATATGGTATTGGGGGTCACTCAAGGACAAGGCCCTCCCCTGCCCCTGCTGCTTGAGCTTGTTCCCAGCCCAGGGAGACAGAAGCCTCCGTCATGCCACTGTCAGGAACCAGCTGTAGTGGACCCCATGCCATTAGCTGTGGCTGTGAACATAAGGAGGGAGAACATTTCCTTCCTGAGGAGAAAGCTGGCCAGACACGGTTGAGACTGGCTTTCCTTGTGGTGCGGGGGGACAGGTGGGACATGCTGAAGGTGAAGCTGTGTTACCAGCCTGAGCACTGAGGAAATACCAGGATTTTTTTGGAGTGCGCGAGTACTTTTTCCCATTGTCCCAAAATCCAGA